ATACCTTGTCCTGTGTAGAATTGCAATGTAAGGATAGGGAATGGGAGCGTTACGGCGCTATATGACTACTTTTCAGTAGACGACCTGCTGTAATCTCATGTCTTGATGACCAGAAATCTACTCTCCATGAAGTTCACCATATTGTGTTTCTGTGCACGACAAATGCCGATGAGCACGTCCGGAGATGATACGACTGCACGAGTTTGGCCCAATTGCAGCGGTGCAAAAAGCAACGAACGGTGAGAAAAGTAACCGGGATAGTCGGGGTGTGGGTATCCCCTTTCGTTGAGCGATGGGGAACCGATACGGATCGTTGAGCTGTGCAGCGCGCCCGACGCCAATCCGAGACCCAACAACTTGCAGTGCAACTGATGTCGTATGGAGTCGTACGTAGAAATGGCAAAAGCAAGCATGAAGACTCTCGCATTGGAGGGAGCGACTCTGCACAGGAACATGGATTGCAAAAGCAACGGTAGACCCCTCCAGCATGGTACAGAGGTGCGGAAAGCATGAGCGGGACATGGCTCTTCCGCCAAGTGGCCGATAGCCTCAGGGACAACCCCAATTATAGCGCGCCCGGACGGCGGTCAACCAGAGCAACACAGACCACCTCGCAAGCTTATACCGTTTTTCTATGCATCCCTTTCCTCTCTTTGCTCACACACTTGATACCACTCACATTTGCGACGAAGCACCCTTTTGCCTTGGTCAGGCCGCATATCTTCGACAAGAGAACCCCAGAGAATGAGCTCCACACCTGCGACGGGCGTCCCCAGCATGGCCAGGAACGGCCCGCCAACGCTCGAGAAGAAGCCGGTCAAGTTCAGCAACTTGTTGCGTGAGTCTGTCTGCAGATGAAGAGTCTTGATGTATGCTGACTGAAACCACAGTTGGTGCTGGTCTCAACATGTTTGAGTAAGTAAACACAGCCCACTTCGACCCCAGGACAGGATTGGCACTAACTGAGCCCTACAGAGTAACAACTCTGGGACAGGTACGCGATTCTGAGAACTACGTGCTTTCTGGAAACACACTAACGCTGGAAAATAGCCGTTGGAGGTCGTCAAGACTACCATGGCTGCCAACAGGTCTGAAGGCTTCTCGGGAGCTATTGGCCGCATCTGGGCGCGTGGAGGTGTTCTCGGATGTCAGTACACGTTGCGTGACTTTCAACACTTGTCACTAACAAGCATGCAGTCTACCAGGGTCTCATTCCATGGGCCTGGATCGAAGCCTCCACCAAGGGAGCCGTCCTCCTCTTTGTCGCTTCAGAAGCCGAATACTACGCCAAGTCGTTCGGCGCTCCCGACTTCCTTGCTGGTATCTCTGGTGGTATGACGGGTGGTCTCGCGCAAGCCTATGCCACCATGGGTTTCTGCACTTGCATGAAGACGGTCGAGATCACAAAGCACAAGGTCGCAGCCACCGGCGCGAAGCCCCCGGGTACGCTTGAGACCTTCATGCAGATTTGGCGCACGGAGGGTCTCCGCGGTATCAACCGTGGTGTCAACGCCGTCGCGGTGCGCCAGGTCACCAACTGGGGATCTCGCTTTGGTCTGTCCCGTGTTGCGGAAACAGGTATTCGCAGGGTCATGGACAAAGAGCATGGCGAGAAGCTCTCAGTGGTTGAAAAAATCACTGCTTCAGCTCTCGGTGGTGGTTTGAGCGCGTGGAACCAACCTATCGAGGTCATCCGCGTTGAGCTCCAGTCCAAGACTGTTGATCCTAACCGCCCCAAGAACCTGAACGTTGCATCAGCGTTCAAGTACATCTACTCGAACAACGGTATCAAGGGTCTTTACCGTGGTGTTACTCCCCGCATTGGTCTTGGCGTTTGGCAGACGGTCTGCATGGTTGCTCTGGGCGATGTGTAAGTTTTGCCATCACTACCACATGTTCGCAGACAAGCTAACCAATCTTTAGTGCCAAGGAGGCTGTTGAGAAGCTCACCGGCGACAAAGTCACTGCGAAGCATTAGATGGCGTTCGGAGTCTCAATCTACCGGGTTTGATGTTCAAGCTATGATCTATTCAATCGGGTTGCGAAGGCCCTCGTCTTCGTATGGGAGAACACGACTAGAGATATATATGACTATTATGTTCATATCGCGCAATAACACTATAATACCAATGAAGCTGAAAGGCCTCTGACATGGAAATCTGTTTTCGATCCTACGTCCATGTGTGAAATTCTGTGAAATTCTGTGAAAATGCACCCTATACAGCCGTTTCCCAGCACAAAGAAGATTGACATTTCTGGGCTTTGCTTTGTGAAACAAATCCTTAATATTCTCACGTTGTCTTGCCTGCGTGGTCTTATGGGATACCACTCTGACTGGAGTGTGCGTTACCACTCACTAGATCAGACTTCTCCATATCCTTGGGGTAGTCGCAGCACGTTGAATTGACCAATCATGAGACCGTGCTCGACGCTAGCTCACGTCACACGCGTGCGACCAACCCACGTTCCTTCTCTCGTCTTCGCTCCTGTATCGCCTCCCTCAAGGCAAGAATGCGGTATTCGCTATGTACCAACGTATCGCTTGTATCCCAACGGGATATCATCGCGGAGACCAAAGGGTGAGTTATTTGCTGAGTTGACTAATTTGCTTCTCAAGACGGCCGTTGACCCAGAATAGTTTCCCGACAAAGTCGCACAACCAAGTTTGAGAGGATGGCGTTGCGACTTGACGGCACTTTCGCATCGATATAATCTCTATTTCCTCGCCTCTGTCGATGAAGTTCATGTCTATCAACCCAGTTTTCCCGATCAGAATTTACCTAGCGAGGCTGAGCTTGTCCTACATCCGCCCAAAACTGGTGTCGTTGGACAAGGGATTGACCCTTCAAACCCTCACTCTATTACCCGTATCCTTGTTGATTATCTCGGCAATGAAGAGATTCTTCTTCTGGCCTGTGACGACGGTGACGTTATCGGATACAGAATTCAAGAGATCCAACGAACACTCGAACACAGGACCAATCTGCAAGAGCCTATCAACGACGATAGCATCCATGTGTTCCTCAACCGTAACGTTGGTGCGAGTGCATGGGGCTTAGCGGTGCATCGGGAGGCCCGCATCATTGCAATTAGTGCGGTAATGATGATTTCCAAGTCTCGCATGCGCCCTGCTCTTCTGACCTTGGATAGAACACTCATCGTATCACCATAATCGCGTATGCGCTCGCTTCTGGTAGCGAATTGGACACCTCAGACCACAATGCCTACGGGCTTTCACCGCCTGCTCCTAATTTTCCATATAGCAGGCAAAAAGATGATGTTTTTACTCTCTCAGCGACAAACAACATCCCTGCGCTGTCGTTCTATGGTGATTCTGGGCGTTGGCTTCTGAGCAGTTGTATCGATGGCAAAACTGCATTGTGGGACTTGAATTCAAGAGAAGAGGTAGCCACGTTTCAGCTGGGCTGGTGCGCAAGCGCGAGCGATCTCTCGACGCCGCCTCGTTACTTTCGCCACAGATTTCTGTGCGAATGCCCAGCCGCTCAGAATGTACTCCATGGCGCCTGGGGTACCATAGCACTGGATATACGATCAGCGTATGAGTCGTCCTCAGCGGAAGAATTTACTCCAGCTGCCAGTACGGCCGACTTTATGGACATCACCAATCAGAAGGAACGCTTCCGAGTTTCGAACCGCACCTCTCCATTTTCCGAGTCTAGCGAAAGTGAATACGATTCGGAGGCCGCAGATGATGGAGACGACGGTACAGATGACGAACAACCCGCACAACCTTTTGCGCAATTGATCCAAGCTGTAAGTCAAAGCGTGTGCACAAAGAAGCCCAGGTCATCTTGTTTGTTGCCACGGCTCAAAGTATACCCTCAAAGTACACACAAAGAGATTCTTGCCAAACGACATAGTACTAACTACATGTTTGCTATTAGATGGCAGGCGAGCTTCATAACGGCGACACTACACAACCGCTCATTCAACATGAGTCTCACCTGCATATGTTAGCTCAGCTGGGAATATTTTATGCGGCCCAACCCGTAATCAAAAGACCTTATCGCGTAGTCAAGAATCCAAGACAGCTCAAACAACTCAGTGGCACTGTAAGATATATATTTTCACCTTCTCACATCGCTTCAAATTGACCAAACTAGGATGCCATCATTGCTCCTTTTCTGATCTTTACGAAGGAGGACATTTTTCTTGTTCAGGGCTCATACAAGACATCCATGAACTATACCCTCAATCAAGTGAGAATTCCAATCTACGAAATGCAGGTGAGATACGCACTGACTTCGTACACCGATATTGCAGGTTACTGCTATGCAGCGACCACTACATCCGGGCCGATGGGTAGAGACCCTCACCTCTCAAGATCGACACTGCTTCTTTTCTCAGATACCTGAGCTAGGCATCTTCATAGTCGGATCTCCGATTGGTCATGCTGGCGTGTTCAGCTTATGTTTTACTAAGCGCGAGGACCACGAACAGCCACGGTATGGATTCAAGCTCGAGTATTTGTTGCCCTTCCACAAAAGCGATCAGACAAAAATTACTGGAGTGCCGCAGGGACGACTGCTTGGTATAGCTGTAGCACCCATACAAGGTACGATGCAGAATGTTCATCTATACATCCAGTGTCTAACTTGTGTCTGATCTAGGCATGTTTGACGTTCCAAGAGACACTGAAGCATTGGAACAAGAGAAAGAGACATTGCAACCAAGGCGATGGCGCTTGTTAATGTACTACATGGATCACACCGTATTGAGCTTTGAGCTGTCGAGGATGAGAGTGGACGAGTCACCGTCCTTGAGCGATATGGTTGTTTAGCACTTCGTATATTGTATCGAGACTATCAGTAAGTGTAGAATGGTTTGGTTGTCTCTTGGCTTCCACTTCCTCATGGCACTAAAGCTGTGATCGCAGAGTGATGTTCTGAAATCCCTAAATCGGCACTCGACACTCAAGTGCTCCAAAGCTTCCAATATACCTCCAACTGGCGTAAAGCTCCAAGACTACTCCAGCTTAACTACTCGCCTAGTTTTGTATCCACTTCGAGTACCCTCCTCCACTGCCTCACCGCCAGCCGCTCCTTCTCATTTTCCTCACTTTCCTCCTCATCGTCCGTCTCCTCAGCTTCAGCCTGCTCAATCATGCTTCTCAACTTGTCCGCCATCGCCCCCTTGGCCGGTATACCCTTCATCAGCAACGTTTTCACATTCTCTCGAACTCGCTCGTCGTTCATACACAGATACAGCGTCGTGAGATGTGAATATGGGCGTAATAGAGGGCCGATCAGAGCATATGAGTCGATTCCAGAGTATGAGATTAGGAGACGTCGAATGCGCGATAGAGTGGTAGGTGGAAGGATGGAAGATAGCGTCGTGAGACGAAGTGTCTCGGTAGTGTTACATGCGGCTGTAAATCTAACACTCAACCAGATAATATCCAGGTTGAAATTGAAATAGAATCCTTTTTCCTCCTCTTCTTCATCTTCTGGTTCGCCAATTTTCCGTCCGTGAAAAGACAACAAATCGGTGAAGGTGCTTGACGTAAAAGTAACGATCTCTCCACCTTCATGTGCGATACTGAAGCTCCTGGCTTCCTGGTTTGTGGAGAAGAGAGGCGGAAGTGGAGGTATATAGCGGAGGCGAGGGGTGTGGTCAATGGTGTTATAGGTGTGTAGTTCGAGGAAACGAGTCCGTGCTGCTGGAGCGGCGAAGGACCAGATCAATAAGCGTACCTTGGAAGGCAGGTCGGCGAAATATTGAAAGGTGTTCAGCGTTTGGCCTGTGGTGCTGGTGGAGTCGTGACTGCCATGTTGATCTACGATGAAAGTGTTGACATGTTGAGTAGACTGCGTTCCCAAATGAGATGACGAAAGGCGATGGACGTCGCGGCCACTGTATTTCGGATCGTTCTCATTGTCGATGTCCATTGCGCCAGAGTCTGTACTCATGAAGCTTTGAGAGGGAGAATCGGTCGTCATGATGGCATCTTCTGACAATTCCTTCACCTTCAACATGGCCATCATGGTGTCGAAGGACCTCTTCAACGGATTGAGTGACATCGTTGGTGATTGCAATTGATGTGCCTGGAGATGTGCGCTTCGCGTGTTTTAGTTGTGTCAGAAGTGAGAAGTTGCGGTGGATCAAGGACAGAGCCATTTGCGTCGATATTGCGGTGTCAGGTGAGAGCATGTCTGGGTTGTGGTGACAATACGCGAGACTACAGACGCCTCGGTGGCGCGTAGTTCCAGGCTCTAGGCCGCCATTGTAAGCGCGTGGTGACGGATTTGCGTTTCGTCTCTACTTTCACTCACGATGTTGAGTATTCTGTGAAAATTAGCCCGAGTCCACCCGAGTACAGGTGAATTCGCTCACTTATTCGAAAGCAGTTGCCGAATCATTGTATCAGATGTTAGTAGTTGTAGGTAGTTTCTCAGGTGCTCCATCAGACGTTTAGACGACTGGATACGTCTCTGGTAGAATCATTCGCGTGACGCGTAACTCTACCTCTTCATAGGTCACGTGTCTGGATAGCAAGAACCTTGATGATGTGATAGTAATAGAAGGAATACAAGTCAAGAATGGAACAAAATGGTTTTGTACTGGGTCTTAGTACCACAACTCCAAGCTCATTCTGCTCCGTGCTGAAAACATTCCGATACTGGAAATGCTGAGTGACTCCTTCTATACCAAACGCTATTACTGTGGCTTCTGCAAGGCAGCTTTGAGAACCAGCGAATTCCTAGACCTCTGGCTTGAGCAGCAATTGGTCTTCACAGGTCTTGACAAGTTCGGGGCAACCTGCATTGTTGGGCTTCATTTCAGAGCGTAGACAGGGTATCTGAGAGAAGAAGGGATAACCAAGACGTAATTCAAGAAGACTTGCGGTTATGACAATTGCAGAACGATCAAAGTAGGTGATTATGTATACATTGGAGAGTATTGTAGGGTATAATTTGTGCAGGCGTTCGTACCATGGTTGGGACTGGCTAACAGGACCCAGTTGAATTCTTGTCAGGCCCGAATTTTACTCCTCCAAAATTTCCGACGGCCAAAAAACCCAGGCAAAAACTGCAAGCAGTTTCAACCCACAAGCAGTCCACAAGGCACCTGCAAGGCCTACACTACTGTGGGCATATAGACCACCAATGCAAGCTCCCAGAAGCAGCATCGCTGGTGCACCAATTCTCCTGTTACGCTCCACGTTCGACAGCTTGAACAACTGCGGATCGGAAAACAGATCGCAATAGTTACTGGTGAGCACAACACTAGTGAGACCATTGTACTTCAAGGCGCGCGACGTAACCGCTTGTCCACTGGACTGGAAAGCAACCGAAGCAAGTGGGACAAGCATCTGCCAATGAAGGCCTTCCTTGGTATCCTTTCCGACCGTCGCGATCAATGCCGCTACGGCGATAAGCAGCATCTGGAAAGAATATGAAACAATGAGCACCCATCTCTTGGCAGGCGAGAAGTAACGATGAAAGCGCGCGAAACAAAACGAGCCCGCACAGAATGCAGTAATGGACGTTAGGGCCTTGATCCAACGAATGCCCTCAGATGGTGCAACAACACCCAGTCCAAGATAGACGGTATTACCTGTTTATTGGTAAGCTTCTGGTTCATGAAAGATGGCGCGTCTTACTCACCCGTCTGCATGCTCACGAAAGAGCCCCATATGAAGACAGCCGAGCTATCCAGTAGGCCCGTAATAATGTAGCAAAACAACAAAACAAGGTCTGCCCAGTTCTTGGTGACATCGCAGTTCATGTGCCGTTTGAACCGCTGCACAGTCCCCATGTTATCCGACTTTCCGCCGGTGGAGCCATTTCGGCCGAGAAGCGGCGTTTCTTCGTCTGCGCTGCTGCGTGTGGCGTTTCTGCTGCTCATGGTTGCAGGCGCGAGGGAGAGGAGGTCGTGCTGTCGAATCCTGGGAGGGTTGCGAAGGCCGGTAGTTATGTCAATTGGAGCGGGGTGCAGATTTTCGCGCCAGCGTAACCGGGAAGACGCGTGCCAGCGTGCAGATCGACAGGCACTTGGACTCAAGCTTCAGTCAAGCTTTGGATGCTGGCAACGGAAATCGCAGGATAGCTCAGGAAATGTGGCTGGTACACCTTCCTGATGTGGCTTTGCAATGCGTTTGGTGTGCGGGGAAACGGTTTTCAGTGGGTATGGTGCGTGGAAAAATGGTGATTGACGAGCGGAGATGCCGCGGGAAGGACCAAGTGATGGTTTAGTGTCAAGCAAGCATCATAAATAATAATGGCTGCATCTGTCGTCATCGGAACACGGCATTGGACGACGCGCAATGCACGCGGCACGTCAAAAGGGCGACGTCTGCCGCGTCGACAACGACTTGACGCTGTGATTCCTTTTCAGCTTCTGCATTCCAAGTCAATTGAAGCAATCATGCATTTTCCGTCGTTGCTTGTCGCGCTTGGCGTATGTGGTGCTGTTGCAGCGCCTTTGGAGCAACAACAACCACTCCCTGGTAGTGCGCGACACCACGCTGGGCCCAACAAGGTCTTCAATCCATACAAGCCTGGCAACAATGACCCCTTCGACAAGAAGATTGACTCCCAAGGCGACAAGCTTCAACCACTGCCATACGTGAGTTCGACACTGAGATGCTTGTTCCGCAGAACAACAAACATCAAGCCTATAGAGAACCCACACACTAACCAACTCTGCAGCGCAATGGTGACGGTGCGAGTGTGTTAGGACCTCGTAACCGCGCCCGCGAACGACAGAACCCGGATCTTGTCCGCCCACCCAGCACCGATCATGGCGCAATCCCCAACATGCGCTGGTCTTTCGCCGATTCGCATATCCGTATCGAAGAAGGCGGCTGGACACGTGAGACGACCGTTCGCGAGCTGGGTACTAGCAAAGAGCTAGCCGGTGTCAACATGCGTCTCGAAGAAGGTGTCATCCGTGAGCTTCATTGGCACAAGGAAGCTGAATGGGCCTATGTCCTTGAAGGCAAAGTCCGCATTACTGCTCTCGACCCCGAGGGTGGCTCCTTCGTCGACGACTTGGAGAAGGGTGACCTCTGGTACTTCCCCTCTGGTCACCCTCACTCCCTGCAAGGTCTTAGTCCCAACGGTACCGAGTTCCTACTGGTCTTTGACGACGGCAACTTCTCTGAAGACTCCACATTTCTGCTTACCGACTGGATGCGACTCACACCCAAGTCAGTCTTGGGTGAGAACTTCCGCGTATCGCCAGAAGTCTTCAAGGCCATCCCCGAGAGCGAGAAGTACATTTTCAAAGGCTCAGAGCCTGGTTCCATTGACGACGAGGTACCAAGCAAGGGTAAAGGATACAAGAAGTCCAAGATCCAGTTCACCCACAAGATGCTGGCTCAGGAGCCCGTTAACACAACTGGTGGTCAAGTCCGCATTACTGATTCGACAAACTTTCCCATCTCCAAGACTGTCGCTGCAGCACACCTGAGTATTCAACCTGGCGCGATCCGTGAGATGCATTGGCATCGTAAGTCACTTACCCACTTATGCCTGACGTCTCACTAACTCATTTCCACAGCTAATGCAGACGAATGGTCGTTCTTCATCGCTGGCCGCGCCCGTGTGACTATCTTCGCCGCCAAAGGTACAGCACGTACTTTTGACTTCCAAGCCGGTGATGTTGGTGTCATTCCCCGTAACATGGGACACTTCATCGAGAATCTCTCCGATGACGAAGACGTCGAGGTGCTGGAAATCTTCCGTACGGACAAGTACCAGGATTTCAGCTTGTTCCAGTGGCTTGGTGAGACACCGCAAAGGCTTGTCAAGGACCATTTGTTTGCAAACAGCCCTAAGGAAGCGGAAGAGTTCGAAAAGGCAATTCGCGATGCAGAGAGGGATCCTATCAAGGATACCGAGGTCGAGGAGGAGGACAAGGAGGAATTGTAGAAACAGGCGTCGCTATGATATGATGTGAGACGAATGGGAGGGCAATTGGGTTCTCGTTATGGCAGATGAGGATGGCGAACGGTTATTCGCTGTAGTCATTCCGCTTGTGGTACAGTCTTCGAACGTACACTAATACATGTTCTATTGACACGAACGCTGATCAACAAATGATCTTGTTACTTCTATGCGTTGGAAAGTCCAGTGGAAGCCTTTGTCATGTATCACTGCGATGAGTAGAATGACTGTAGCGTTACGATCTTCGGCATTCCAGCAAGACGGATACAAAGTGTGAGCAGTAACACTGGCATTGACGCAACAATAGGAACAAGTTTCATCAAACCGAGCCTACATTTGTGAGCGAAAAGCCGTTGGCGATGGTAGAAAAGTACGCCTATGGGTTGGAGGCTAATGGTAGGAAAAAGAAACTGACTGGAGGAGAGGCCGAGCAGCCACACGGTTCGTTGTTGAGGAAACAGATGGGTGCGGACTCTCAGTACCCTGAACGTCCTTCAAGCCTGGCCATGACCCCTGGAACGAATTGGCTTTCAATATTGTGGCTGCTCGATGCCAACATCAATTTGCTAGCCTATTTTGATGCACGTTCAACCCTTGGAGGAAGAATGTCGAGCACGTGGAAGTCGTCGATCAAGGTTGAAATGAGAGACCATGGCGCGCACAAGAGATCGAAGAGGTGGAAATGATGTCGGCATGCATGGTATTGTTGATGGATCTGAGAGGATATGTGGCTTCAGTGTAGCCGCAATATGATTGGTGGAAGAAGCGGCAACCGTTAGGACGGCCCGGGGACGATCGTGTGAACAAGCACGTAACAGGGATTTCTCAAAGACAGCTTTATTATTCCTTCGAGCTGTATTGCCCAAAATCATTCGCGCCATGACAATTATCACCGCCGGAAGTCGAGTATTTGTCACTGGCATCAGCGGTCTCATCGGCTCCCATGTGGCAGATCATCTACTTCGGGCCGGGTATCGCGTCCGAGGCGCCGTACGGAATCAGGATGAGGCAGAAATGATGCATTCCATCTACCGAACGCGTCACGATCAGGCAGAAGATTCCTTCGAAACTGTCATAGTCGCAGACATGAAATTGCCAGGAGCCTTCAAAGATCTTCTCGCTGATTGTGAAGGCGTCGCCCACGTCGCGTCTGATTTGAGCTTCAGTCCCGACCCTAATGTTGTCATTACAGGGTGCGTCAATGGCATCAAGGCGATACTGGAGGAAGCTCATTCGACACCGACCATCAAGAGGTTTGTCTACACCTCGAGCAGTAATGCAGCAACTAAACCTTTGGTGGACGAGGCAAGACATGTCAACTCAAGTTCATGGAACGACGGTATTTTAGACGAAGCCTGGGCACCACCACCGTACCATCCTGAGCGTGCTTACGCTGTGTATGCCGCCTCGAAAGTTGCATGCGAGCGTGCAGCTTGGGCTTTTGTGCGAGAACAAAAACCGAGCTTCGTCTTCAACACTGTACTTCCAAACTACACGTCTGGCATCATATTACAGCCTCTCAGTGTTGCAGGCGCAGGAAGCACCGCGCGTTGGGTGCGTGACGCCTTTGACCATCCTTCCGAAGAGGAATACGTAGCAAAGCTGCGGGATGATAGTCCACAATGGCAAGTCGATGTTGAAGACATTGCAAAGTTGCATCTTGCGGCGCTCATATTTGACGAGGTCAATAGCGAGCGGTTGTTTGGTTTTGCCTTTCCTTTCAACTACAACAGCTTCCTCCGTGTGTTCCGAAATCTAGCACCGGACCGTATGTTTCCAGCCGACGAACCTGGGAAAAGGATTCCGAGTACCACTGTGGATTTCCAGAGATCCATTGAGTTGTTGAGAAAGTTTGGCGCAAACGGTTGGGTACCATTTGAGGAGAGTGTTCGACGTTCATGCTTGGGTACATATGGAGACGGCTTCGTAGCATACAATGGTTTTGTTGGTTGATCGTGTCTTCTTATGCCACAGATCTTAAGCATCTTTTGAAATCTTGCCTAGTATCCCTGTGTCTCATTGTGTAACGAGCGGATGTTCATCTCACGCAATTCGCACAGATCGTGTCATTATGGATTGATGCCATATCCATCACTCAAGACGCTATAGCTGAGCCTGGTAGACAAATTTGTCGTATGAGCCTGATCTATGACAACACATACGCTGTCTGCTCTTATGTTAGGGCCATCTGAGGACGACACCGGCGTCATGAGGTTCGTCGACGAGCTAAGCCAACATCCAATAGTGCACTTTGATGACAAACGGGAGCTCATGTCTGCTGATTGAGAAGCCATAGACGAAGAAAACAACACGTCCAACGGAGGCGCTTAACGACGCTCTGTGTAGCCTTGTACAGGCTTTTAAGAGCCTGTACAAGTTCTTGCATCCTGCAAGTGAGCTGTTCGAAGACCCAAGCTCATGGTAGTACTGATATAGATTGGGAAGTGGTTTGAATGACAAGTTCTGCAGTCTCGCGCAAGACAGGAGATTTAGACTCCATACCCGGGTACAGCGAGTCGTACTAAGACGTATAGACAGGGTTCGCAACAGGGTAGATCTTGCAGTATAGAGCACTGGACATAGTCCGTGCAGTAGAAGCAACGCAGCAATTCCGTGACTTCTACATCGAAGCACCATCTTAGTGTCTGAATTGAAATGTCCCAGCTATAGCAAGCTGCCTCAGCTAGTGAGATGACCTTCCGAACCGCTATATGTTGCCATGGATGACTTGAACAACAAACTTCACTCGGCAGACAGCGGCATGACTCGAGATCTTTTTAACGGCAAAGAACTGCACGCCACCAATCTCATTAACCAAATATCGCGCATCTTCAGCACCATGTACATAAAAGGAAAGCTTGCGTTCCAATTCTTATCGTCCTAAGATTGCGCCACGAGCTTTGTCCACCGCGAACACCGAAGCCTTCAGATAATACAATTGCCTAGTAGAATAGACAT